TTCAGAATCGCAGGCACACTCCTACTTTTTTTTTCTTTTGAGGTACTGGGGATGAACTTGGGACCTTGAGCTTGCCAGGCAGGTACTTATGCTGTTGAGCTATACCCTTGGCCCCTATTTTTTGTTTAAATTTAATCATTTATTTATTTGTTTATTTGTTTGTTTGTTTGGTACAGGATCTCATTACGCAGCTCGGACTCAGGTGGCCCTTGACCCTTACTGACCCTGTGAACCCAGCAGCTACTGCACAGAGCTGTGACCCCAGAGCCATGCATGGCAGGGTCCCTGCACTCTGAGGTTCCTACATAGCATGGTCCTGGGGCCTGGAAGAAGGCTCAGTCGAATAAGTGCTTGCCTGGCAAGTGTAAGAACCTGAGTTCAATCCCCGGTTCCACCAAACAAACAAACAAACAAACAAACAAACAAACAAAAAACATAGCATGGTCCCACATAGCTAAGCCAGTGCCTACCAGGCTTTGATTCACCCTGGCCTGCTGGCCAAATTTTGGGACACTCTTGGCCACACCCCAAACCCCCTCAAGCTCTTTGGAAGGACAGCCAGAAACCCAGGTACCTGGGATCACAGGTTTTGGCTCTTGCTGCTCTGTGTGTCTTTGACCCATTCTCACGTCTCTGTGAAGTCCTGGGGAACAAGGATTTCAAGATGTCTGCACCGAGACCTGGGATTACAGGCATGCCCCACTGCGCTCGGTTTCAGTGGCCAGCACTGCGTTCTTGGTGTTCCAGAGCCAGCACAGCATGCAATACTAGGGATTGAACCTGGGTCCTTGCACTTGCCAGGCAGGTGCTTAGACTGCCGAGCTATCTCCTGAGTCCCAGGCACTCCAATTCCAGTTGAGCATCTGCAACAAAGAACATCTCCTTCAAGTACTTGGATCTGGTGAGCAGAGGGCACAAGGACATTTGTAATTATGAGGGCCCAGGGCACCTAACTCTTGGGCCAGTGGGACTCACTTCCCTCTGATGTTCCTGGGATTGTGGGTACTTCAGATTTCTTGAGAAGGGACACAAAGCCCTGGATGTCTTTTAGAAGGTGAGGCTGCCAGCCTGGTGCCAAGTGTCAATAGGGCACAGAGACCCAAACAAGGGACTGCTGCACTCATGTGGCTGAGATGCCACTGTGGCGAATGGGTTTCCAAGGATTTGTTAGTACTCGAAACTGGCTGCATGGTTCTTGCCCAGGATGTGGGGTTATGTGAGAGGCAGGTGGTGGCACGTGGCTCCCAAGACCCATATGAATCGGCACGTGCTGTCCAAGTCCTTTGGGGAGGGGAGGACGGGGGACTTGAGGCTTGTTGTGTGTCAGCCAGCACTCTGAGGGTGGCACACTGGAAGGCTGGTGATGGAGTGGGCCAGTCAGAGACCCCAGATCTTGGTGCGGACATCTTGAAATCCTTGTTACCTAGGACTTCACAGAGACGTGAGAATGGGTCAAAGACACACAGAGCAGCAAGAGCCAAAACTTGGGTCCCAGGGAAGGGGCCCAGGCTGCAGTTAGGCTACAGGGATAAAGCCCAATGGCTACTCATTCAGAAGGAGGTCAGGTATCCACACAACTGGGGAAGGGGGAAGAATACACCCAGCCTCAGGTGACGGGAATCTCTCAGGATCTCTGAGTCATACAGACACAGGCTAATGGGGTGCCAGTGGGAGGCTGAGCCGCCAGACCCTCAAATGGAGATGTAAAATACCTGAGGCCCAGGGAGGGACTCTCAGAGAGTCTGATATTGAGGCTAATGGGTGCTCAGGCACTCAGACAGGTGGGGTACCAGGTCTCCAGTGTATAGTCGCATGGTATTCAGGTGAGGAGAACATAAGTAAAACAAACACCAAGGCAGGGTGACAAGGAAGCCATCAGCTTCTCTGAGGAATGGGGTTGGGGCCAACAGCAGTCTGGGAACACTGAAAGGTTTGCAGAGGGTGGCGGGGGTCGGGGAGGACAGGACGAAGACAAGGAAACAGTGAATGGACAACTAAGCTCAGCAACAGAGTGGGATGTGGGGACCAGACACTGATGGGGTGCGGAGACTCCAAAGTTTAGAAAAAAGGATCTCGACTTGGGTCTGTCAGGCATAGGAACTGCTATCACTCTCGGGCTGGGGGTCAGCTGGTCTGGGCACAGGTACAGACCCCCGCACCTGGGCAGCGTGGGGTGGGCAGGCAGCCCAGTGCCTGAATGAATGGCACACAGAGAACCCAGACAAGGGTGAATGGGGCCCACACAGCAGTGCTACGGTCGAAGCAGTGTGTGCAAAACCACAGGAACAAGGCGCTGGGCCCTCGGCCCGGCACACAGGCCCTGCGTGCAGCATGTCAGTGGGAGAGTCAGTGGACCCAGCAAGTTGGGTACGGTCTGTCTAGGACCCAGGTAGCTACAGAACAGAGTCCCTGCTCCCAGACTAACAAGGAGTGGGTCACCTGGGCTGCACGGGTGCTCAGGTGATCACGGCATGTACCCCACGTATTTGCAATTGTTGGGTAGAGGCGCCAGCTCCAAGGATCTCCCACGTGAACAGGGACACCAAAACAAGGTGAAAGGTACTGACACAAGATGAAGGAAATAGGGCCCTGCATCCCAGGTCTCTGAGGCCTGCTGTGAATGAGGAGGGGCACGGAGACCCCATAGCCACATGGCAAGCGGGCTTCACATGGTAGAAGATGGCTACGTGTCCCTGGACTTCCCAGAGAGAAGAGGATTCACTCAGCAACTCCAAACAATGGTGCTCATATCCCTGGAGACTAGATGGGCATTTTAAAAAAAAATTCAGCACAGGGTCTCACTGTGCAGCTCAGACTAATAGAGTTCCTCCTGTTTCAGCTTCCCTAGCACTGGGATTATAGGCGTGTGCCACGATGCCTAATTTTGGTGGCTGGCACAGCACGTCTGGGATTTCAGGCCAGCATGGCATGTTGTACTGGAGATCGGACCTGGGTCCTTGCACTTGCCAGGCAGGGGCTTGGACCACTTAGATATCTCTCCAGCCCTAGATGGGGATTTTCAAAAGATGGACTTTGGACCTCAGAAACCCATGACATAGTGTTATATTCAGAGAGGGGTACAGGCACCTGATGATCTCATGGTGGGGCACAGCTTGACCTAAAACTCACATGGGAAACAAGCTCCCTAGATCCTTAGACAATATGTTATGTTCCCTGGATGTTTGCATGGGAGGGCCTAGCCTTGCTGGAAGTACTGGTGAGGGGGTCCAGCTCCCCAGATACCCAGGTGATGGGATACAGCCTCCCTAGATATCAGGTGATGGGGCACATGTTTCTCAAATGCTTGGATCTTGGAGTACATCCTCCTTAGAAGGCCAGGTCTTCGGATATAGCCTCTCTGGGTAGTCAGCCAATGAGGTACCTCTTCCCTGGATCCCCTAATGATGGGATACAGCCTCCCTGGATATCAGATGATGGGGTTCAGGTTCCTTAGGTACTTGGATGATAGTGTTCAGGCTTCCTCAGGTCCTTGAATGGGGTAGACACAGGCTGGGCCACAGACCAGGCACAGGACACTTGAGCCACAGAGGCCTGTGTCAAGCCTAGCACCTGCCCATGCTGTCCCTGGCACAGACAAAGCGGTGTTCTGGCTGGATGGGATACACAGTGCATCAGATTAGCCAGAGAATGCATATCTGACCCAGCACGCCTCACAAATTGGGGCCAGAAGCTCATGGCGCCCTAGCCAGCATCTGCTGTGAGTTCCAACCTCAAACATTCCCCAGGCACCCTCAAAGGAAGGATCTTCATCCAAGATCGCTGCCAGCGTCTCCACAGGGCTGTTGGCTGCCAAGCCACGGTCGCGGGGGCCACAGAGCTGTCCATGGGGCTGGCGGCAGGCTGCTGGCTCAGTTTGGTTTTCTCCTTCCTTCCCTGAGAACCTCAGATGCCACCTTGCCATGGAGGCACCCCTTATGGTGGGGAAGCAAACAGCTCCTCCACAGTTGACTGGAGTTGTGCTCACAGAGCATGTAGCTCAGCATGCCCTGAGGTCTGCTTGTCCCCATATGGATCTGCTTGTCCCCTGTCTTCAGGAAAAGATGCCTGTTGCTGAAGTGGCCCTGGCTGTACTGGGGTGACTTCTGGCCCCTCTGGTTTTAGTGACCTGTAAATCCCTTTTATGCTGGCTGGATCAGACTAAGGGACAGACCCATCCCTGTGTGGTAGTGGGACAAGTGCACACTCTGTGTGCCCAGAACCATGTATGAGCCATCCCTGCACATATGAGCTCATGTATCTCACCTGTTTGGCCCCCCAAACTCCCTTGAGCTGGGGCTTCTTCGTCCCACAGGCCTAGAGGCAGGCAGAGTAATAGGTTCTGTAGTTAAGCATTAACCAACCCTAGGCCTGACCTCTAGCAGCAGATAAAGGGTTTGCTGTGACACTCTAGCCTAGGTCCCAGAGTGACCAGACCAGATCAACTGGCTGGCACACAGAGGAGGAGCTGGGCTCCTGGCCAGTGAGTCCTGGTCAGGCCCCAGACGAAGCGAGGGGCATTGAAGTTACAGTGCAGGAAGGGCTTCTGCTAAAGGCTGAAGGCATTGATCACCCAGGCAGAGGCTGTGGGGCAGCAGAACGGCCTCAGCACAGCAGCAGGGCTAAGACTGTCCTGGCCAGAGTGCCAGCAGCTCCCTTGTCCAGCTCCTGTCCTCTTACCCTTGGTACTGGTGGAGCCAGCAATGCCGGAAGGCTGCCTTCCAGCCAGGGAGCAGTGACTCAGAGCTGCCAGGGCAAACCAAGTCCACCCTCGCAAAGGTCACCCACTCTCACAAAGCCTAGTGGGGCTTAGGACACCCTCACCCCGAGGGACCTTGTAGATAGGCTGCGGAGCCCAGTCACTCTGTCTCTGAGCTTTCAGGGGGACCTTCCTCCCCAAGGGAGTTTCCAGGCTCCTGAGGGCCAGCAGTTCCGGCCATGAGGTGGGGCTCTCTGAAGCCCGGCCTCCCAAGCTCCCCCTCCCACCATGATGCTCCTAATACTAGAGGCAGAACAAGTGCCAGGCTACAGCTCCAGGTTCGGAGTGGGACGGACTTCCTGGTGGCCAGGGTCTGAGAGGAAGGCCTGAGGTGGGCTGGCCATAGAAGCCGTGGGCGTCAGGTGAGAAACTCCATTCTTGGGGGGCACCACTTCTCTTTTGGGGGTCTACTCTTCAACAGTAAGGTCCCATAGAGAGTCACTCCCACTGAACCCAAGCTCCAGTTCAACCGGCAGTGGAGAGAATGAGCTAGCAGGACTAACTAGGAAGTTAGGAAGACGTAAGTGCCTGGCTTGGGCAGAGAGGGAAGCGTAGGGGTATCTGGGTTCCTTACTGGGAGGGACCAGAATGCAATACAGCATAAGACTGGGGCATCAGAGGAACCACAAATGGCTTTCTGGGCATAGTGGGGGTCACATGGGCCGTGAGGGTGAGTGGGACCTGGTGGAGGGAATGCTGCTTGCAGGTGCCTGGCAGCTGCAGGAATGAGCCAGCTGCCCTGCCCACAAGCTTAGAGCAGAGGTGGGCTGTCAGAGCCATGGTGAGAGGGTAATACCTGTCTCCTGTCCCAGAGCATCTCTTGAGTAGGCCAGGGGGAATTGGCCACCAAAGACAGACAGCAAGAAAGGTGCTGGCAGAGCACAGCTGAGTGTCCTGGGGGTGAGGAAGGAACCAGAGAGCCTCTCAGTGTCCCTGTCCCTTGGATCTCTACTGCTCGAGCTCCTGGGCACTCTCCTGAGGAGCCCCAGTCTGGAGGTACTCAGCTGGTGGGTGGGGACCAGTGAGGCTGACAGCACCACCTTGTGGTTGCCAGCCAGTCAAACTTTTATCACGATGTGACCTAGCGGTCCCCAGGGACCCTGAGCTCCCCAGGCTTCAGGATCAGGGCCAGCAGTGGTGTTCCCAGAGTCCCAGGATGCGCCAAGTCCAGTTTGCAGGCAGCGCCTGCGATCTCCGTGGGAATGTTTTCCAGGCCACCTGGGGATCTTGCAACTTGGAGGGCCAAGTCCGGGTTCAAGGGCTACGCTACCCCCTCTTAGATGTCTGAGGTGGAATAGGGACAAGAGGGGTGCAGGGAGGGTCACATACATATACATGCATGCACAGAAAGAGACCATATTGACAAAGCATTCCAATTCTCAACTGTAAAATCTTTTTTTTTTTTTGGGGGGGGGTGCAGGGTCTCACTACACAACCCAGACTCATAGTGATCCTCCTGATTTCTGCCTCCTTAGTGCTGGGATTACAGGCATGCGCCACCATGCCTGGACTCCTTAGTGCTGGGATTACAGGCATGCGCCACCATGCCCGGACTCCATTGCCGGCTCAGAGCACCTAAGGGTGGGGCTGGCGTGGTAGGCAGAGCCAGGGATCGAACCTTGGTCCTTGTGCTTACCTAAGCAAGCTCTTAGTCTGCTGAGCTATACCGCCAACCCTTCTCAACTGTAAAATGTTTTTTGCTTTTTTTTTTTTTTCTTTTTTTCCCCAGAACCAGGGATTGAACTCAGGCCCTTGCACTTACCAGGCAAGCGCTTATTCTAGTGAGCTATTTCCCTGGCCCTTCAACTGTAAAATCTTGAATAAAGCTACTTCGGAATGCACATAGGATCTCACATTTCACCACCCCCAAACTGAGCCTGTGTGGATGGGGCAGTCCTGCCCCAGGGACCTGCATGACCCTTGGACCCATTTCACTGGCTACCCTGTGGGTCACTCTGCCAGTCACCGGAGAACTATGGAGCTCACCTAAATGGGGGAGTGGGAAGGAGGGAAAGCCAGGAACAGAGGGGCTGCCAAAGCCTGTGAGCTCACAGCACACCCCTCTCCATGTTGATCTGTAGGGACTTCTCAAAGGGCCTCCTGAAAAAGTATGGATAAGCTATATGGTACGCCAGGCCCAGTGCAGAATGCCAAAGAGCTTCCTTTTGTGAAAAAAACCGAGAAATTTCAAGAAGGAACAACAGGCATTAAACTCAGTACTGACCTCTCTGCTGGTCACAGGCTCCAGCCTCAGCCTATTGGGACACCTTCAGTCCCCTGGAGGGAAGCAGGACAGGTGGACCCCTACCAAGCCACTGCCCCCTTCTCTATCATCCACTGGGCAGTGGTTGGGGGGTCAATTCTGGATTTATGATGAGGTCCTTCTGTTCTCTCCTGAGCACCAGGATGGGGGAAGCAGGGTTGAGTGGATCCAGCTCATTTACTGGTTGCTGTGGTGGAGTGGTGGTGGTGGGGAGTCCCTGCAGGAGGTTGCAGGTCTTGTGGCAGAGGTGGGGTATTAGGAACTCAGACTCCCTGCCGCCCTGGGAAAAAGAGAAGGGCTGAACTTGAAAACCTTCCCTGGGCCTGGGGTCACAGTGCACCCCAGCCCCTAGCCAGAAACCTGCCCTCCCTGCTCATGAATGGGAAGAACCAGCCTGGTCAGGTATGCTCTCTCCTCCCCAGGTCCCAGGCAGGTAGGGTATAGGGGCTAGGGCAGCTTCGCCTGCCTGCCCACCCTACTTCCCACCCACATGTGAAGGGTGGCCGGTAGGGCAGGCAGGCAGGCGAGTGTGGGCAGGTGGCTGAGTCAGTGAGAAGGAATGTTCTGGCCACTCCCAGCTGCACCCAGCTCCTGCCTGCCCCCACCTTGCCCTGGTCCCCAGGTGTACCTGGCCCGGTGCCCACCCATGCCAGCAACACACCTTCAGCCCAGGCTTGCTCGAAGGAGCACCCACCCACAGCCAACCTATCTCTAGACCCCAGGGTCCCTCCTGGCTTCCAGGGACCACAGTGCACAGATCCACCCTGAGCGTGCTTGCAGACAGTGGCTAGCCTTGGGCAAAAGGGCATGTGGTGGGCCATTGAGCAAAGCCCCCCAGCCCCATGGATGAAATGGACCTTAGGAAGGGCCAAGGCTCAGGAGAGACTGGCAGGGAGAGAGGGGCTTCCTGGAAGAAGGGATTCCTTTGAGTGGGGAGTGACAGTGAAGGCCCAGACCAGTGTGGCTGAGGCTGGCACCTGGAGGAGGTGGTCAGGAGGCTGGGCCCATGGCAACCAAGCTGCAGCTTTGGCTAAGCCAGCACCTCCCCCCTTGCCTTCCTGGGCTCAGAGCCCTCGGCCTGCCACCCTGGGCTACTTCCTGGGCCAAGCAGTCCCTGTGCTGGCTGCTGCTAAGAGGATGAGGCAGTGGGTAGGGCCAGGGGAGCCCCACACCTTCGTGACCTGACCGCCCTTCATGGCCTTCTCTTCCAAGCCAGCAGGAAGATGGGTCGTCCACCAGATCCCCACAGCACCCCAATCCCTGCTGGCACCACGGCCATGCCTGGCCTCATTCCAGACCTCGTCGCCAAGATCCCCTGTAAGTGTCAGGTCCCTGAGTGTCTAAGGGATGTGGGCATGGCCTGGTTATGCAGGAGACTGAGATTGTCCACAAAGGCATCTCAGCCTCCTGTGCCCACACCCCAGGGCCCCACTGGGCACTCATTGTCGCTGCTCTTGCTGCTGGCATCCTTGCTGTTTCCTGTCTGTTCTGTGCCATCTGTTGCTGTTGCCAACGCCGCCGTCGTAGGAAGAAGCTCCAGAACAAGGAGGTTATGAATCTGGGCACTGCCCGTAGCAGCACCACCACCCACCTGGTGAGGAGCACCTCCATGTCAGCTGGGTCCCTAGAAGACAAAACAAATCCTAATCTCTGGAGCTTGGAAGAGCCCAGGCAATTAGGGGCAAGCTCACCGTCCTTCCCCAGGGACAGTCTGGTCTCCCCAGAAGCAGGGGAAGGAGGGCCTTTCTGGTAGGGTAAGAGGATAAACAAAGGTGAGGCGGAGGCACTGCAAAAGGGGACATATGGCTGGGCATGGTAGCATATGCCTGCAATCCATCTTCTTTGAGCCTTCAGGATCACCATGAATTCAAGGCCAGACTGGGCTCCATTACATAGTGAGTTCAAGTTCAGCCCGGACTGCACAGTGAGACCCTGTCTCAGAGAAGGAAAGTTGTTGGTTCACGGGTCACTGGGAGAGACAGCAGTTTCTTAGGAAAGATAGTGGTGCAACAGATGACCTATGGGGGTGGGGGGGAGTTGGCCAACCTCACAGAGCTGAGCTAAGGATGTGAGCCTTTCTATTGCCTGGCCTGAAGGTGGGTGGTTGACCCATGTCTCGGAGCTGGGAATACCAAGGCTCTGACAAGAGCACATGGTCTCCCCTGTCCCTGCTCGCCCCAGGTGCAGCCAGACATGGAGAACTTGGAGTCCAGTTTGGGAGACCCTCTGCAGTGGGGGCGAGTGCTGCTCTCCCTGGAGTATGACTTCGGAAGCCAGGAGGTGGGGACGCCCCAGAGCAGACCTGCAGTTCTGAGGCTAAGGGAGAGTGATGGGTGGTGCGGGGGTATCGGCGATGACCTGTGAAATCCCCTCGGCTGAGCCCACTGCTGGCCCCCAGATCAGAGTGGGCCTGAAGCAGGCAGCTGACCTGAGGGCCGAGGGCACTGTGGACCCCTATGCTCGCGTCAGCGTGTCCAAGCAAGCCGGGCACAGGCACGAGACAAAGGTGCATCGTGGCACACTCTGCCCCGTGTTCGAGGAGACCTTCTCCTTCCATGTGAGTCCAGGTGGGATTTGGGGCGGAGGTGGATGAGGTGGCCTTCGAGCCAAGGTGCTGTCTGGCTTATCACCATGCCCTCAGGTCCCACTGGCAGAGCTGCCCAGTGCCACCCTGCAGGTGCAAATGCTGGACTTTAAGCGCTTCTCTGAGCACAAGCCACTGGGGGAGCTGTGCCTGCCACTGGGCACCTTGGATCCTCAGCACGTCGTGGAGTGCTGGTACCAGCTGGGCCCACCGGGCACCAATGAGGTGAGGCCACTGGACACCAGGCTGCAGTCCAGAGGCAGAGCTAGTAGGACCCCTTTTCCAGGGCCTCAGGGAAGATGGAGGTGGAGTCTCCCCAATGAACCCTGTTGTTCCCACAGGCTGAGCAGATGGGAGAGTTGTGCCTTTCCCTGCGGTATGTGCCCAGTTCGGGGTGCCTGACTGTGGTTGTGCTGGAAGCCCGAGGCCTGGGCCCAGAGCTGGCAGGTGAGAGCCTCACTTGCCTACTCAGGGGGACAGAGGACTGGGGCTCTGTCAACCCTCAGACCCTGGGTCTTTCCCCTCTCTCGTAAGCCCAGAGTCCTATGTGAAGGTTCAGCTCATGCTGAACCAGAAGAAGTGGAAGAAGAAGAAGACATCCAGCAAGAAAGACACCACTGCCCCCTACTTCAATGAGGCCTTCACCTTCCTGGTGCCCCTCAGCCAGGTCCAGGTAGGCTACTGGGAGGAAGGGCAAGGTGGGGCAGGGCCTTGTGCTGGACCACAATGACCTCACCTTCCTCTCCCCCACCCTGACCTGTTTCTGTGCAGAGTGTGGACCTGGTACTGGCCGTCTGGGCCCGTGGCCTGAAGCTCCGGGCTGAGCCTGTGGGCAAAGTGTTGTTCGGCCCCCGGGCTTCCGGCCAGCCCCTACAGCACTGGGCAGACATGCTGGCCCATGCCCGGCGGGCCATTGCCCAGTGGCACCGCCTACAGCCTGCCAAGGAGGTGGACCGTATCCTGGCTCTGCAGCCCCGCCTGCGCCTGCCAGTGCCTCACCCCTAAAAGCATCTTGGTTCTCAGTTTCCCCAGACAGAGCCATGGGCACTCCTCCAGACCACTTGTAGGACTGCAATAAAAGCCTTCCCCTGCCACACGTGTCCTACTGGTCCTGTGGAGACACATAGGCAGGGCAGGGATCCACCCTCAACCCCATGGCCCCACAAAGGTTAGGGGAGGATCTTTCCCTTCCAAATTTACCAGCCCTCAGCCTCTGACTGGGGCAAAACCTTGATCTGACCCCTGGGTGGGACTGGGGGTCCTCTAAGAGCCATTGGTCCCCTCTGGGCCCAAGTGGGAAGAGTCAGGAGGGGGAGTCCCTCCAATGTGACATGTAAAGGATAGCATAGAAGGAGGAGCTGGAGCTGGTCCTTTGGGGACACAGTATGATCTGGGGGCGTTGTAGGTAAGGATGGTAAGTAGTGGGGGTCCTAGCACTTTTAGGGACCAGCAACACAAAGCCTCCCCCATGTGAGCAGCAGGGGGCAGTAGACACCTTCAGAAGCTGCTCTGAGCCTTTGGGGGGCAGCCTTGGCTGGGGATGTACCTCCTAATCCCCGCACATCTGGATGGCTTTAGCGGCTCCAGTCTTCCTGCATCTCATGTCTCTTCTGATCCCCACGGGCTGGGGAGTGGGCAGGGCTGGGGCCAAGCGCCCCACTGCTCAGAGAGGGTGCCAAGTCACGAGCCGGTGTCTCTGTAGGGTGGGGCCTGCAGGGGTGTGTGGGGGCTGAGGGCCTCGGCCGGGGTGAGCAGGTTAGTGTGGGGCCTGCCTAGGCAGTGAAGGGGCCCAAGCTCTCACAGGTCACAGAGAGGTTCCTAGGCTGGTAGCGCTGCCATCCTGGGGTTGATGGACATGTTCCGAGTTGCCCATACAAAGGTGCCGGAGGCCAGGGTGTTATAGCAGGCTGGGAGAGGCTCAGCTGCTCATCCGGGGGCCCCATCCTGCTCAGGTTCAGGGTGGGAAGGCAGGGTCATGCAGAGGGGAGAGCAGTCCCTGAGGTCCTGGTCACCATGCAGGGCCCAGGAGGGCAGGCTTGGGGGTCCGCGCCCTCCTTGGGGTTGGCCTTGAGGGTGGGGTGGTGGTGGTGGTGGTGCATGTAGCTGCTTTGCCTAAGGGTTAGCCCTGGGTGAGGTAGATGCAGTCAATCATAGGGCCAGAGCAGGGAGCAGGCACCCCGCAAGAAGCACAGGGCTCAGGGAGAGGAGCTCTGGGGTGAGCCCAGGAGGGTGGACCTAGCAGGGGCGCGATGTACAGCAGACTCCCACTGAATGGCCTTCCCTGACCCTCAGCTGGGCAACCACCAAAGCCATGCTTGAGCCACACATGTTGTCCTCAGGCTCCTTGCAAGAAAAGGGAGACATCTCGACCTCGTCATTGAGCCCTAAATAGAGCAGCCCAACCACGACACCCTCCCCCCAAAGATTTCTTGGACAGGATGGCAGCAAGAGGCCAGTGGCAATTGCCTGGGCTGGGCCAGACCAGGCAGCCTGGGCAGGTGGGGAGGTCTCTCTGGTTCTCTGTGCCCCCATTGGTCTGAGGAGGACTCCATGCCCTTTCTGAGCAGGGGCCCAGCCTGGGGGAGGTCATTTATACCCCTCCTCCTGGGCCCACCAGACCAACTCGCCACTGCCGGACTGACCTGGTTCCCAGTCCTGCTGCCCAGACTCTAGGTGAGGCCCGGCCTGGCCTGTGGAGGCCAGAGGACAGGGCACTCTCAAGCTAGCTTGCTGAGGACTTCCTGGGGCAGGGGCTTAGGGGCAAAGGGGCAGCTGCCAGCAGCCCTCTCTGGGGGCTTCTGTAGAGTTGGGAGTGAGAAGTGGAAGCTTGGGGAGGTGGCAAGGATGGGGCAGGGGTCTTGGACAGGTCTCTGATGACCAGACCTCAATTCTAGGATACTGGCGGCAAGAGTTTGCAATCATGCTAGCCAGGACCCGAGCCCCCAGGCCACATTGGGGAACATTTTCTTGCATGCACTTAAGTCTGAGGCCAAAGGAACAGAGTTAAAAATACCAGCATTACTCTGGCAGCCACCTGTGCTGGCCTGGCCCACCCCTCCCTCAGGGACAGCTGCAGTTCCTCGCCCCGCCTTGGACATTTTGGGAACACTTTCTCCTCTTACTTCTTACCCTGGGGAATTCTTCCAAGACACTGCCCTCTAAAAAGACTGGAGTCAGGGCATGACACAGGGGGACCTCTCTGCCTGCTGAGTGCTGTCCTCTTGTGGGTGGGCCCTCACACCTCTCTTTCTTCCCACAGGCTAAACTCCAGACTTCAAGATGGGGGAGTAAGTGGCACCCCACAGGGGCCCCTACCAGCTATACCCTCCTGCTACTGGAGTGGGGGCCCTGGCATCTCCCCAGCAACACCCCCTGCCCACCCTGCCCACTGCCCACCCCTCTGCCGCATCACACCCATGGCTACCCCCTACCCACTTGTCATGACCCTAACCTCTCTCTTCTCTCCCCTCCCCCTCCCATCTTTTCTCCTGGGACAGTGAGGAGGTGAGTACCTGACTGGGGATCTGAAACCTGGGTGGGTGGACAGGACTTTCAACTTGAGATAAGTCAGACAGCAGAGCTTCAAGGCCCTGAAGCCCAGGGAAGACACCCCTATTCCCAAAGTGCCACACCCACAGAGCCTGGTGACAGAGGAAGTGGCTGCCCGCTGCCTTATGGGGCAGGGGAAGTGAGGTGGGGGCCTGGTCACCAGGTTGTCATTTCTTCCTGATTTCTGTACTTCATGTGCCTCCAGTCTCCTCCTCTCTCCTGCCCCATCCCCCCTCCCAGCCCATGTGCCACCTGGGCTAAGTGTTGGGCCAAGTGTTGGGCCAAGTGTTAGGCCGGAGTGCTGCGCCCCTGAGGAAGCTCTGGACCAGGGAAATGAAGGCTGGGTTTGGGCCATGTCCTCCTTGGAGCCTCTGGCTCAGCTGTCCCAGGCAGGAACTCCTGCTCCCGGGGCCTCTGCATCGGGCGGGTCTGGAGCCAGCCTGACTTTGTCCCTTCTACTTCCGCAGAAACGCAACAGGGCCATCACGGCCCGGAGACAGCACCTGAAGGTAGGTACTGCCGTGAGAGCGCGGGGGCGGAGCCATGAGTCCTCGGAGCAGCCCCTCATCATCCCTTTCTCTTGCAGAGTGTGATGCTCCAAATTGCTGCCACTGAGCTGGAGAAGGAGGAGAGCCGCCGTGAGTCCGAGAAGCAGAACTACCTGTCGGAACACTGCCCGCCCCTGCACATCCCTGGCTCCATGTCTGAAGTGCAGGTACTAGCTGCCTGCAGTCAATGGGCCCCAGGCTCAGTTTCCCCACTCGAGAGAGCCAGGGGGTGGTCAGGGAAGGGTGGCCTCAAGTGTGAGGACAGCTGCCTACTGCACCCTCCCTGCCCCAGGAACTCTGTAAACAACTGCATGCCAAGATTGACGTGGCTGAGGAGGAGAAGTATGACATGGAAGTGAAGGTGCAGAAGAGCACCAAGGAGGTGAGGGGGCGGGCCACAGCCTGGGGGCGGGGTTGTAGCCAGGGGGCGTGGCTACAGATGGGGGTGGGGACGTGGTGGGGAGGTACGTGGGGTTTGGGGTCTACCAGGCGCTCCCATGGCCTCCCTCCTGGCAGCTGGAGGACATGAACCAGAAGCTGTTTGATCTGAGGGGCAAATTCAAGAGGCCCCCCCTGCGGCGGGTGCGCATGTCCGCCGACGCCATGCTGAAGGCGCTGCTGGGCTCCAAGCACAAGGTGTGCATGGACCTGCGGGCCAACCTGAAGCAAGTCAAGAAGGAGGACACAGAGAAGGTAGGCTCTGCTCCCTGGGTAGCTCTCCTCCTTCTGCTGACCATGCTGGGAAACCTCCACTATCCCCTTTACGGAAGGGAAACAGGCTGGGGCATCTGTGGGGCTGTGGGCCTGAGCCCTCTCTCACTCCACCAGGAAAGAGACCTGCGCGATGTGGGTGACTGGAGGAAGAACATCGAGGAGAAGTCTGGCATGGAAGGCCGCAAGAAGATGTTTGAGTCTGAGTCCTAGGCCTCGGCGCCCTGCTCATCGCAGGGAAGCATCCAGGCATGAAAGGACCTGGCTTCATCCCAGTGGTCAATAAAGGATTCGAATCCCATGGCTGGTCTGATCTGGTTCTGAAGCCTGCGCTGTGCTCAGCACTGCCAGGCAGCCTAGGAAGAAAGGAAGTCACACAGGACTTCAGAGAGGGAGGGGACGTCCAGGAAGACCCCACAGGGAACCCACGCTAGGCTGCACCCTGGGGATGGTGGATGCGGCCAACGGCAACTCCCACACATCCCCTGGACTTTTCTAACAACTCAAAGATTGGGCAAGGATGGCCATGGGGGCCCCAGTCACATCTGAGGCAGCCGGGGGGGGGGGGGGGGGGGGACCGTTGAGATGAACTCATGCCTTTGGGCCCACATGTAGACAGACCCCCCTCCCAGTGACACAGGTCCAGGCTGGCTGCAGCAGACATGTCCCCGGTGCCTTGGGAGCCGCCACTCCTCCCAGGCCCCTCCCATCTCTTTCTCAGAGGTCCATCTGGGACGGAAAGCTGAAGTCACTTTTGTTGCCTTGGCCATGGGCACAGCACTTCCTGTTCAGGAAATAGGTGGTAAATTCTTCAGAATGAGTAGAAGGAGAGAAAAGGAGGGAGAGACAGATAAAATGATGGGAGGCGTGCAGAAGCAAATGTTTGGGCCCCGGAAAATAGCTCAATAGAATAAGTGCTTGCCTGGCAAGTGCAGGGTCCTGAGTTCAATCCCTGGTACCGGAAAAAGAAAAAAAAAAAAAAAAAAAGAAGCAAATACTTCCTTGTGTTCTTACTTTTGACCCTGGCAACCTTGAGGTCATTCTCCCCCACCCCCATCAAACTTTTCTTCAGATGCTTAAACAATAAAATTCTTAAGTGACATTAAAAAAAAAAAAAAAAAAAAAAAAAAAGGCTGCAGTGAAAAGATCGCAAAAGCCAGCAGTCAGGACTTCAGAGGCTGAGATGTGAGCGGGAAGGTGGGAGAGGTGCAGGAAGGTGCCAGGGGACACTTTGCTGGCTCTTGTGTAGCCCTGGAGGATGGGGGGGGCTACTCTTCAGAGTGGGCCAAGAACCACGGCAGGATGTTGTCACCTCCAGGGCAGCAGAAATGGAGACCAAACACAGGACAGACACAGGGAGCCGGGTCCTCCAGGACTGGGTGGTTGGTTTGTTTGGGGTGAGTTGTCTCTCTGTCTCTGTCTCTGTCTCTGTCTGTCTCTTTCTCTCTGTGTGTGTCTAACTCTGTGTCTCTGTGTCTCTCTGTGTCTGCCTCTGTCCCTCTGTCCCTTTGTCCCTCTATGTCTCTGTCTCTGTCTCTCTCTGTCTCTGTCTCTGTGTCCCTGTCTATCTGTCTCTCTGTCTCTGTCTGTGTCTCTGTCTCTGTCTCTCTGTCTGTCTCTCTCTCTCTCTCTCTCTCTCTCTGATATCCCCACTACTGGGGCACCTGAATGGTCCTGGGCTTCCCTGGGCCTCAGTGCCCCCCCTGGGCACAGGAGTGACCAGTCCTCACCCTTCCTCTCCAGCCCAAACTCACCTGGTCCAACTGTATGTCCTCTTTCAGTCCCTAAGCATTATACCCTCACTGTGGTCTCTCCATGCGGCTCTAGAGCCTGACTGTTAGAGCTGGCCTCTGTGTCTTATACCCTGCTCCAACATGTCAGGATACTTGGTCTCAGTTTACCAGGCCATCATATGGGCACAGAGCAGACCCAATTTCATAAGTTGACAAGTACCAGTGTGGTGGTTAGGGTTTGCAAGGGAATATTTAATACAGGACAGATAACATATGGGATCTGTGTATTTAATACAGGATGCATAATTTATAGGAGCATTTTGTAATATTCATCCCAAAAGTCAAAAGAAGAAGCATGTGAAAGATCTGTCCACCCACTAGAGACTAAAAGAAGCCAGCAGAAGGCCTGTGACCATAGCAACGTCCTGCACGAGTCCAGCTGAAGACCCAGAGCCCACAACAACAGCTCACACACATCTGTATCAAAGATCTGCACTGGGAAGGTCTGCAGATTGGGTGGAAACTAGAGTGACTGCGCCAGTGGGATGAGGGAGCTGACCTGGAGCCAGGAAGGTAAGGTCGAGGGCGACCCCTCAGAGAACTGCACGCAGCCAGCCTCAGCCACAGCGAAGACCTAAGCTCTTCTGCTGAGAACAGCTGAGTTCATATCAGGAAAACCAGCATGACAGCCTTCTCCAGGAGGATCAACAGCTCACCGTGTTCCCCTCAGTTCTCCTTTCATGCTGCTGGCAACAACCCTCAGGTGGGTCTTCATGCCCAGTCCCACGCTGACTCAGCTCAGTTGACCGTTCATTCATCCACCACAGCCTGGCACCTCTTCCCACGGCTTCTTGCCTCCTAAGGGCCAGCCTGGCCTCTTCTCTCCCAGCATGGCCCCGAGGTGGCCCTCTGACAACCCAGCAGCAGGACTGCCTGGCTTGCTTCTGTGACCCCTCGTTCTTCAGGGTCCCAGGTGGTCATCTCCCTGGTGAGCCTTCCCTGAGCCTTATGTGAGCCTCAGATCTGTCCACCTCCGCACTCTGTCCCAGGCAGTCTCTCTCACGTCTACTTTTGATTTAAAAAATCACTGTCCACTTGCTTTTTGTTATTTCTGTCTCTCCCTTGTCTGTGGGCAGAGTTGGGGACCTGAAGCTATACGGCACTGCCTGTCTCTAAAGCTAGGGAGGCATCTTAGTTACTATTCTCTTGTTGCTGGGACAAAATGCCCAACCTCCAAAATGAAGGATGGAAAGATTTATTTAGCTCACACTTCATGAAGCTTTCAGTCCATACTCAGCTAGCTCCAAGGCCAGGTGGCATGGCTGGGGGACAACAGTTCAAGGCGCAGAAGACAGCAAGAACAAAAGAAGCGAGAGAAGAAACCCTTTTTCCTTTCTTCAGGCTACCTGTTCCCCCAGGGCAGCGTGGCACTCACACCATCTCTCCACCCTCCTCTTGCACAAGTTGGGGATGTTTACAAAGTGGGACTCTAGCCCCTTACTCAGTTGTTCAGTTAAACTTTTAAACTTCTCAAGTTGACACAGTGTATGAACAACCACTACAGGAGACACTTGCATGCACCCAGATGCCCAGACCTCGATAGCCACCCATTGAGGTATGAAGATAGGAGTCCCTTAGGTCGGGGACAGGATGCTTGTCCTTCCGCGTCCAAGTTTGCAGGGCTGGTTGTGGTTGCACCAGATGGCCTCCCCTCCCCTGGCTGCTTCTGTCTCCAGCGAGTACCTCAGTCCACCACACAACCGCTGTCCAGCCACATGGCTTCTCCCTCCCTTGTCTCTGCCATCACACCTCCTAATCACTCCTGTCATGGCCAGAGCCCCTGCTCTGGCTCAAATTCTGCCTGGCGTGGATGCAGCCATCTGCTGTCCAGTGAGGGACCCGGCCCATGGGAGACAGCATCAACTCAAGACCCTCCACCTCTGAGCCCCCTGATCAGTCTGAGGGGCCTTGCTCTCTGCACCTATTTTGAGACTTCTCCTGGCCCCATACCCCTGCTGGCTTTGTAGGGGATTCCTGGGCCTTTCTAGGCTGTGAGTCTCCCCACGTCCCTTTGCTCTGCTATGATCCCTTGGAGGGTCTTTTCTGTTCTCACCTGTCCCTCAGCAGCTCTCACTTTCCTAGTTCTACCTCTCCTCCAGTTCTCACCTATGACCTCTCTGCCTACCCGCTAGGAAGCCATTCCCTGGATTTCCACTTCTCCCAGCATTTCTCCCACTGTAAGTTTCCCTCCTCTGGTGCAAAAGAGAAGTGGGAGAGAAGTAAAGAAATCCTGTATCGCTCCATACGGGAGGACTCCCAAAGAGAAGCAAGGAACCCTCTGGGAGGAGGCAGGCAGGTGAAGAGTTTACCAGGCTGGGTTGGGGGCGGAGCTTGTGTGGGCGGCATGGGGTCCTAACAAGTGCTGATTGGGGAAGGCTTGGTGCTTGAAAAACAAGAGAGGAAGTTTGAGGTTAACCAGGAGTAAGAAGGCGGAAGTCAAACTAGGAGTGGCTTGCTGTTGGTCTTGGATCTCCATGCTGTGCTGACTCACCACCATGAAGACCTGGCGGACTTTCATAGGGATGCAGACCCATCACCTGCCTGTCTGTCACCCACCCACCCTCCTAGCCCTGCGAGCAGGGTTCCCTGTCTTGTCTCCATCTCTTCCACCTGGGCTCCTGTCCTAACTTGCCTGGGCCAGGACTCAACCCTGATTCCCATCTCTCCAGTGTCCTGTGAAAGATGAAGGGCTAGAGCAACACTAGCTCTGGCTTTTGGAGTCTCTATAACCCAACAGAAAGATCTATGTGACACTTGGCACCCTTGAGAAAGGGGGCCATCCAGCTGTCTTGGCCCACCATTCCCTGACATGAGTGGTTCCAGCCCATGGTATCCACAGCTCAAATCCTCTTCCTGTCCCCACCTGTGTCTTGCTTTGTGCCTCTGTGCAGAGATATACCCAACTTCTCTCCCTGGACCCCACAGCTCAGGAAAATGTGTCAGGATACCCTTTCCTGCAGCAACACACCTTGCAAATAGATGTGCATCCCATGATGTGTGTTATGGTCCGTATCCTGAGACCTGAAAAGCTTCATGGGACCTAGCTGGGATGCTTGGAAGGTGATTGGATGATGGGGGCTGTTAGAGGTGGGGCCTGATTGGAAGAGGTGTGTTACTGCGGGTGTGACCCGGAAGATTATATCTCCCTTCCTCCCTTGACCCTTTCTGCTTCCTCAGAGCCATGATGTGAGCAGCTTTCTTCCTCCAGACCCTTCCAAAATGCTCTTCTGCTTGGAGCTGGCTGATCATGCAAGGACTGAAACTTCTAAGGTGTGACCTAAAATGAATCTCTAAATTGCATCTATCAGGTATGGTGTCTCAACAGTGCAGAAAGGAACCAAGACAACATGCGTCTGGGCTTGTTCCCAGAATCCTCACCTTCCTTAGGGTCTCTCCCCTGGCCTTTGCCAGCTGAATACAGAGAGTGGGCCAGGACTCAGGTCCTCAGAAGAGGAGCTTGGGGTCCTAGAATAGCTGCAGCAAAGCCCCAACTCCTGGCCTGAGGAAGG